ATTGGCTTTTTATCGGGTATTCGTTCCAGTACTCGTGTCGGACTTGCACGGTCATGTTGGTTTCGTCGATGTCGAGATAGAGGCCTCTACTTGGATATTGGGGTGCGCCTCTGCCGCGAGACGAATTGTCAAGGAGGGTGATTGCTGTGCCGTTGTCGCGGAAGCGGGCGTGGTGTTGCCAGGTGAAATTAGTAGCTGCGCCGCCTGAAAGATCGGTGAAATTGCTTCGCTTGCCGCCTAGAGTCCAGATAGTTTCGCTTGTGCGACCGTCGATATAGATCAGGCAGTTGCAGTAGCGGGCCGAGACAAGAAAATTGCCTTTTGCGTCTTTGTCGATGCTGTTGATGTGAAAATAGTCCCACGGGCGTTCCTTATCCTCCCCTGAGCCTTCGCGACCTCGATAGACTTCGGCGATATCGAAGTGTTCGGAGGCTCGCCATTCGAAGAGGAGCTCGTTCGTTTCAATGTTAACTTCCTGGAACGTTCCATCCCAGATCCAGCCATTCTCAGGACCGCCAGCGACCCGGATATCTGCCGGGCGGATGTCATAGATGGTGTAAACTGCAGTCTCGTCGAGGGTTATATGAAACTCGTGAAGATCTGCTGCAAGTCCATTGGCACCACTGAGGGTGAAAGCTTCCTGGTACGACGAGTCTAGCTTTATTGGAGACTTTAGTATTGCTTTGCCCCATTACTATGCGGAGTAAAGAAGGTGCCGTACCATGTAGTATGTGCCCTCGCCGTGTCCCACCTTACCGTCGTCGCCCACCCAGAACGTCAAATAATCCTGACCCTTATAGTTGTAGACATTGAAGTTGTAGGTGTGGCCGTAGGGCTTCGTCCAGATCAAGCGACCCTTGTGGTCTAGGATCATCGGCCCGGGTTTATGCACGCTATACCCGCGCGGAGAGATGAAGTAATACTTGTCATCTCTGCATTGTGGCCCATACTGCAGGAAGTTGACGGCTGCGCCTACGGTGGAAGTCGAACGATATGTCTCAATGGGCCATGACCCCAGTCTACCCTGTTCGTACAATTCAGAATCGAAATAGGGTCCTACATCTGCCAAGGCAGAGGCCAGGAACAGAAAGGCCGCTAGCGTGACGGTTAGAGTGCCCGGAATCATGGCGCAAGGGGCAAATACGTCGAGCGCTCAGGAGACATGCGTTGAATTGCACAAAGGCGGCGCTGTTAATCAAAAATAGCGCCTCAACGGCAAGTACAAGATATGAATGATAGTCAGGAGAAGAAGGGCATGATGATTATAGGGGAGGACAGGTAGGGGAATTGGCACGATTTTCAAGGCCTCGATGGGGGCGCGGGAGATCCACCGTGCCCATCGGTAGTGGCTTGCTCCAAAGCCGGCAGCAGCAGACTATCCAGACAATGGCAGGCTAAATGACGAGATGCTCTTCTAGGCCAGAATTTTAATGGCCAGAGCAAGTGCTAATTGATTCATCCAACGAGGTAGTGGATGCTGTTGGGATGATGAGAAAATCCCGGTGATATTTTCCTTGTTGGGTCAGGCGCGAATGTCCCACAGCAAAGGATGGATGGAACAAGAAGCTCTGCCGGCCATTACTTTCGCTCGGATCCCCTCAATGGCTGGTATCTGCTCTTTATCGTTCAACCCCTGTATAGAGGACACGGAATTCCGATGGGATAAGCGTAACGAATGGGATAGCTCTGGCATGATTCAAGACTCTGTGATTAAGCCTTTTAGCTGGGATTCATCAACCAACTAACCAAGCACAACTGGATGGGCAACGTCCCACTCTGTCCGACGTAGCCGGTTGGCCCTGTTCGATAATAATAATCTCCAATCACCAGTGCCTATTGGAGGCCCTGTACTGGTAGTTTGGACGAGTCCGACTCCACTCGGCGCCACAGCTTTCTTGCTAAATTGAATTAGATTAGTTTTCTGTTGAGGGGTATCGAGTCCTGCCCCAGGAAGGTTTGGGTAACAGTATATCGGAACTTGACCGGGACAAGGAGTTCATGCTCGTGACCAGAATCTGCTGAAATTCACAGCCAGTATGTAATGAAGTGGTAGCAAGGATAGTCGAAACTGAGTTGAAGATGTAGTGGAAGAAAGGGCAGGTACAGGGTCAGGTGCTGCCCACGTGGATGGATCTTTCCATTTTTGTCATCCGAAGTGTCTATCTCTCTACATTGCTGGTCTTCTCTTCTGATAACTACACTATCGCAACTCCCAACACGCCAATCTCAAGAATGCTCACGTCATATCATTTCTAACTCCGAGTATAATGTGTCTAGCAGGAACTGCAGAGCCGATCCCTTCGGCAACGTTTGGCCCGAGATGTGGTGCGGAGATCGGCACGGACACCAGTGTTCTCCAGATCGTGGCATTTCATTGCTGGGTTTGATGTTCGCTGCCCGATTTGATTCGTGGAATGCCTTCTGTGAAATAGCTGTAACCCCTCTGGCTTTCGATGGAAGTTATGAGGGGTGTGCGAGACTTATAAGAGGCGAATCGAGGCTATCATGAAAGTCGACTCGGAAAAATGCTGGAAGAGGACATTTCCGCTACGCAGACTAGCACCGCATCGTCATCATGCGGCCTTCACTAGCCTTGACGAGACTCAGCCTAGTTCCTTATCTCTTCTCCAACGTCGGCGAGGCTAGGATATCCCCGAAGTCTCCACATCCACCCTCCATTGACCGGGCACGAGTAGTATCCAGGTTCAATCCTCGCCGCAATGCCAGCTCGACGAGCACCCCAATACAGGTGGGAAATGGGGACTTCGCATTCGGAGCAGATATTACAGGGCTACAGACCTTTCTGCCATACGGTATTCTTTCTTCTTGGGGATGGCACAATTCGTCACTGCCTGCGAACTCCACACCATCAGATTTCACGGGATTGGACTGGTGGACGCATGACCGGCTAGTGAATTATGATATGCCCAACCCTGCAGAACCAGAGATTTCTCAGTGGTTGATTGCCAATCCACATCGTATCAACCTAGGTCGCATCGGATTGGTTTTCGGCGGAGATTACAGCAATTACACTGAGGAAGACCTGCAGAATAAGTCGCAAAAGCTGGATGTTTACCAGGGTATTCTGCAGTCTAATTTTACTATCGATGGCCATCTGACCACCATTACCACCAGCGTCGACCCCAGCTCGGACACGATAGCAGTGCGCTTGCAATCCGAACTGTTATTGCTAGGCCTTTTAGGAGTCTTCTTTGACTATCCGTATGCCACAGACGAGAATAAGTTCGAAGCCCCGTTTGTTGGGGATTGGAACGCTGTCTCAAATCATACAACGGTCCTGCACTATGCAGGAAATGGTAACCGGGCCCAGGTGCAGCACACCCTCGACAACACCACCTACTACACCACATTGCAGTGGAGTGGTAGTAATGTGTCTGTTTCCAGAGTTCCCAATTCTCATCGATATGTCGTACGGCCGAACGGGAACCATACGAGAGCGTTTGAATTCACAGCAACATTCTCTCCAAATGATGATTTCCCGTCCACTTCGCTATCTTTTGATGCCATCATTGCACGATGTCAGCAATGGTGGACAACCTACTGGAAAACGGGTGCCTTCGTAGATCTGACGGAAACTGCGAATGCAACAGCAGATGAAATCCAAAGACGCGTGATTCTGTCCCAATACCTGCTAGCAGTCAATGAGGCCGGACATGATCCACCGCAAGAATCAGGTCTAGTAAATAACGGGTGGTATGGCAAGTTTCATATGGAGATGTATCTATGGCATTCCGCTCACTGGACTCCCTGGGGCAAACTCCCTCTACTGGAGCGGAGCATCGGTGTCTACAATCGGTTTCTTCCCTCGTCGATGCAAAGGGCAGATGACCAGGGATATAGCGGCTTGAGATGGGGCAAGATGAGCGACCCAAGCGGGAGATCTGCGCCGGGCGAGATCAACGCCCTGCTCATATGGCAGCAACCCCATGTCTTTTACTTCGCAGAGACGGAGTATCAGTCTGCCAGACATGCTGGAAGAAACACGAAAGATGTCCTAGCGAAATGGGACCACGTACTGACAGAATCAGCAGACTTCATGGCATCTTATGCCTTCTGGAACACTTCAACAAGCGTATATGATCTCGGCCCTCCAATGTACCCCGTCTCAGAGAATACACCACCCAACAGCACTCGAAACCCCACCTTCGAGTTGGCATATTGGCACTTCGGTCTCGATGTAGCCATATCCTGGAAAGCCCGACGTGGCCAGCAAGCTCCGCAGGAATGGAAACACGTCAAAGACAACCTTGCACCACTACCAACCGTCTATACTGTAGACGAAACGACGGGCGACCAAGTGCTCACATACACACTCTACGAAGGCATCCCACATATGTGGACAGACCCTGATACCGTAACCGACCACCCGGCACTCACTGGCATCTACGGTCTCCTGCCCCCAACCGCAGCGATCAACCAAACACTCGCATCGGCGACCGCAGCCCAAGTCGCCAGTGATTGGAACTTCACGACCTGCTGGGGCTGGGACTTCCCCATGCTGGCGATGAACGCGGCACGGCTGGGAGACGTAGACGGCGCGGTGCAGTATCTGGTGCATTCGAATTTCCAATTTGACGACGTGGGTATGCCGGTGGGGACCAAGGCACCAACCCCTTACTTTCCTGGAAGTTCAGCCCTCTTGTTGGCTGTTGCGATGATGGCTGGAGGTTGGGATGCTGCAACAAACAGCAGTCAGCAGGACTTTGCACCGGGGTTTCCGGCCCAATGGAATGTTCGTGCTGAGGGATTTGGGCAGATGTTGTAGGACGAGGGTGTGACTACTGTACGGTCAACAAATCGTAAATTAATAGTGGACAGCTGTGTATGCAATGTACGTCTCAAGTTCAGCTAATCTATCTCGATGGGGGTATGTAGGGCACAATGTACGGGAATATTATTATGTAGGATTAAGAAGACGCGGCGTAGAAGGGTAGGCGGGTATATCATTCCTCCGAAGAACAATCGCCGAAAGTCTTTGCTTATTTAGTGCGCTTGTAGATCTTCGCAAGGAAGGCCTCGAAGACCTCCTTCTTCAGACCCTCCGACTCGTTGATGCTGTTGATCTTAGTGCGGATTTCACCCACAACACTCTCCTCGTATTCCTTGTAGATCTTCTCCAGGTCGAGCTCCTTGTACAGGGCCTTGACCTTGGCCTCCAGCTGGGCGTCCTTACGACCGTAAGCCGTATCGAGGACCTTGCGCTGCTCGGCGTTGCAACGCTGCAGAGCCTGGTTGACCAACCACGAGCACTTGTTATCCTGGATATCGGTACCGATCTTGCCGATGAAGGCGGGGTCACCGTAGGCATCGAGGTAGTCATCCTGGACCTGGAAGTACTGACCCAGGGGGATGAGGATGTCGTGGGCCTGACGCAGGTTCTCGGGGGTAGCGAGCTGGAGGTAGTGCAGGGCCAGAGCGACGGGGAGGTAGAAGCTGTAGTAGGCGGTCTTGTAGGTGACAATGAACATGTACTTCTCCATGGAGAAGTTGTCGAGGTTGACGTTGTCCTCGGGGGCGGTGATCAAGTCACACAGCTGGCCCAGCTCGGTCTGGTAGGTGGTTTCGTGGAAGAGCTCGACGAGGTCGATGTAGGCGGGGTGGGAGCGGAAGTACTTCTTCAGGATAATGTAGATGCCGGACTCGAGCAGGAAGGCGTCGTTGATGGCGATCAGACCGACTCCCTCGTGCTTGTACCAGCAGGGCTGGCCACGACGGGTGATGGAGCCGTCCATGATGTCGTCACTGACCAGGAAGAAGGCCTGGAGCAGCTCGGTGAGCCAGCCCAGCAGACTGAGGTGCTTGAATTGCTCATCGGTCAGGGGCTTCTTCAGGAGAGCGAGACCGGTGTCGGGGACGGAGAGACCACGGTTGAGCTTTCCACCGGGGACGTTGACGTTGAGGGCCTATTGTAGGGAAAATCTAGGTTAGGGATAGACTTTGGGGGCGAAGACTAAGGGAGGTCAGCACTTACCTTCTCGAACCACTCGAGAGCGTTCTGGGGCAGCTTGTACTGCTTCGCATAGTTCAGAAGGTCTTCCCGCAAAGAGGGGAAGACGGCCTCGAAGTCGGCGCGGGCAGTGGTGGACATGATTGCACGACAGTACTAAGGAGGGGAAAAGGGAGGAAGAGAGTGAAGGGGGAGAAGGAGAAGCAGCGAGAAGAAGAAGAAAAAGAAGAATGGAGAAGAGAACAATGGGCAACACACAAGGAGGGGATCCAAATGGTGGTGATCGTCCCAATTCGTCCAGTTAGTGGCCGGCCAGCCCAATTGGGAAAACCCCGCTGTTTGTTCTGTTTGCCCCGTCACCGCCCAAAAAGGAAGGCCATTCGAGATTCCCCGGAATCTTTTGGCGATGCGATGCTCTTCGCCGCGTCTCCTGCCTCTTTTTGACATTGTTTTCTGCCTGCACGCTTGGCGCTTCTTATGCGCTTTAGTTAATTGGCTCCGTTGTCTCAGACTCTTTTGACATCACTTGTCTCCACCGCCTCTGGAGCGCGCAAGATCCACCAAGTAGCAATGCTCCTGGCGCGTCACTAACTATAGCTACATACACTCAACTCAGCAGAGCTCCGCGGCTTTTCTTTGCTATACGCGTGCGCATCAACGCGCGCAAACACCTTCGCTACCATGGCCGTCCCATTTACAGACGAGAACATCAAGGAGCTCAGATTCCGGCTCGAAGATGCGGCGATTAAATGCTCCGAACGTTGTTTATACCAGTCAGCAAAATGGTAGCGTTACCGGCATCACCCTGGCTCACCTCCATGAGCAGTCACTAACCTTGTGGGTCAGGGCAGCTGAGATGCTAGACTCAATCGTACCAATTGAACAGTACGACACCGATCCAGACTCGCCAATGGACTACCCCGAAGCTCCTTCGAATGCCCAGAACCCTTATCTCCGAACACAAGATCCGCTCGAAGCCGCCCTCGAAGCGCAAGAGTCATACAAGTACCTCCTTGCGAAATCTTACTTTGACACCCGCGAATATGATCGTTGCGCCTCGGTCTTCCTTCCTCCGACCATCTCCCCCGTTCCTCTTACCTCAACGCCGCCGAATCCCAAGTCTAGACAGTCGTTAACTCCGCAGAAAGGGAAATCGAAGGCTTCGGCATATAGTGGCGTGAAAGAGAATAGTGTGACCAGAAACCCGTACCCCAAGCTCAGCCAGAAATCGCTGTTTCTAGCATTGTACGCCAAGTATCTAGCAGGCGAGAAGCGCAAGGATGAAGAGACCGAAATGGTATTGGGACCAGCAGACGGAGGCTCGACTGTCAACAAAGAACTACCAGATTTGGCGCGAGGACTAGAGGGATGGTTCACGGAGCGGCAAGATAAGGGACTGGAAGAGCGTAGCCAGGGATGGTTGGAGTATCTGTATGGTGTCATACTTCTCAAGGGGCGAAATGAGGACGAGGCCAAGAAGTGGCTTATTCGGAGTGTTCATCTGAACCCCTTTCATTGGGGTGCATGGCAAGAGCTTAATGACTTGCTTGCAAGCACAGAAGACGTATGTCGCTTTGAATATTCTTGTTGTCACAAGTCGCTGACCGCTATCACAGTTGAACCAAGTGGTCAATCTTCTACCTTTGAACATCATGACCCTCATATTCCGTGTATACTGCAGCCAAGAGCTGTATCAGGCAACCGAAGATACCTACCAGTCACTATCCGAGCTGGAAACAATCTTCCCCACAAGTGCTTTCCTCAAGACCCAAAGAGCTCTGTTATACTACCACTCAAAAGGTACGGCTGCACGACAAACACACCCTGCATATTTAAGCTGACTTCCTATAGACTTCGAAGAAGCCTCCAGTATCTTCACAGACATCCTCGTATCATCACCCCACCGACTTGATAGTCTCGACCACTACTCCAACATCCTATACGTGATGGGCGCGCGCCCCCAGCTCGCATTCGTCGCGCAAATCGCAACCGCCACAGACAAATTCCGCCCCGAAACATGCTGCGTAGTCGGAAACTACTACTCGCTCAAATCTGAGCACGAAAAAGCCGTCATGTATTTCCGCCGTGCACTTACGCTAGACCGAAACTTCCTCTCAGCCTGGACCCTCATGGGCCACGAATACATCGAAATGAAAAACACCCACGCCGCAATCGAATCCTACCGTCGTGCCGTCGACGTCAACCGTAAAGACTATCGCGCCTGGTACGGTCTCGGCCAAGCCTACGAAGTCCTCGACATGTCCTTCTACGCCCTATTCTACTACCAACGAGCCGCAGCCCTCCGCCCCTACGACCCCAAGATGTGGCAAGCCGTAGGATCCTGCTACGCCAAAATGGGCCGCATCGAGCAGAGCATCAAAGCACTCAAACGAGCCCTCGTTGCTGGCTCCTACTACGCCGATGACTCCTCCCAAGTAGGAGCAGGAGGGGGACCAGAGCGGAAGATCCTCGATCCCGAAACCCTCCACCAGATCGCCACGCTGTACGAACGTCTTGGCGATGACGAAGAAGCGGCTTCATACATGGAACTCACACTACAGCAAGAATCGGGCCAAGTGATCCAGGAAGAAGAAGACGCTTCATCTGATAATGACGATGATGATAACCAATCAGGCACGGAGGGACAGTCTAGCTCTAGACGGACGCGCAAATCTTCCACCCAGCAGAATGAGGATGAGGACGACAATTGGCATGGTACGGGCGTTACGGCTACAACTTCCAAGGCTAGGCTATGGCTTGCAAGGTGGTCTTTGCGAAATGGAGACCTTGAACGTGCGGATCAGTTGGCGGGTGAGTTGTGTCAGGATGGGGTCGAGGTTGAGGAGGCGAAGGCTTTGATGAGGGATGTTCGCGCACGGAGAGAAGGGGACGAGTGATCATTTGTCTTTGTTGGGGTTTTGTGCTCCGTCTCTTACGATTTTCCTGCATTTCCTCGGGGCTATTACTAGCGAGGCGTTTGGGGGAGAGTCATGATGGAATGTGATTTCATAGAAGATGTTTGTTTTGACTGGTTACTCGTATATTTATTAAATGACTAGTAATAAAGCTATATACGGGCTCAGGCAACAGGTGGGATCTCAAATAGAAGCCGTACCCTATTTCGCATGAGCCAAACGCTCAATGGGACAGATTTTCTCCCAGAAGGCCCAACTCCCGTCTATCGAAGCTAACCGTGATCTTAGGCCTAGTGTAAAGCGCATCGCATTCTCTAGCTTGGTCGGGTGTGTTGTAACCTGGAGGCCCCTTAAACGTCCAGCTCACGCAAGCATAGAAGAATACCTTGCTAATGTCTTCCCACGTCCGACGGAGGCAGAGTCTCGTATCATCATTACTGATCTTGAGTCTGAGAAAGCTCGAGTCGAGAACGAAGACTTTCCCGGCATGATGAATGGTGGGATGATGAGACTGGAGTGCATTTGCTATTCGTTTTATAAGATCTGGAAGAATTGTACATAGCACATCTCTCTTGCCAGGTATCATGACCAGTCCGTAGACCGTGCCATGCGAGACTGAGTGAGGGTTGGGTATCCTGGGATGGCTTTGTGTGTCTGGGCGTGTTAATGTTCTGACGAACTTATTGAGGGTCTGTGCGGGTTTCCATGCGTCTGGTATGGATTGAGACACTATCATGTCATCTGAGGAGATGTCATGGTGAATGTATATAGGACTGTGGAGCAATGGTGATATAATGCGCTGGGTTGCTTTCTTGCAGAGGTGGGGAGTCACGGTTTCATTGCCGGATAGGCGGTTGCTGCAAGTTTCCAGTGTCACATTGGACTCGGTTTGGCGGTCTATTGGTTTATGAAGGAGTTCAGAGTGCTTTTGCAACTTGTCTAAGCTACTCGAAGGATCAGGCATTTGACTGGGGCGGGAGGCTTTCTCTGCATCAGAGGACCTAGTCGTCTGGGTTGAGTTCTTCCTGTGTCCGGTTGCATGAGAAGATAGGTTTTCATTGTCTGTCAGATAACTGCCCCCTACACTGTGTGCTGTAGGTGGGGAGGGATCTCTATTGAGATCCACATGGATGGGGATGATACGTTGCATAGCGCTGCTTTCCCGGCGTCGTTTGGTTTGTCTCGCTGGACCAGGTAACGCGTCTGGGGTGTTCGAGTCCTTGTTCGGGAGAGGCACGAATGCCACTTTACCTGAGTCATCTTCGGCAGTTGTCGAAGACTGGAGAAAAGGGCTCTGTGTTGTTTGGAGACTTTGTGATCGATCTGGCGTACACTCCGAGCGATCTCGCAGCTTCATCCGTTTGGCGGCTTCAGACTCGTGATTTCCTGGATCCTCATTGAGGACGGACCGAGCAGTTTCTGCTAGTAGTTGCAACTCTCTGTATGACGCAGCATCCTCAAATGATCGATCAGAAAGGACCTTCAAGATCCTAGGGAAACGCAGTGTATAGTATCTGGCGCCAGACGGTTTTTCAAAACCACTGCCTAACATCTCAACGACAAAGGGTGTCTTGAAGACGACTTCCATGGGGTTGACTACACTCTCCCCATATTCAAGGATGAATCCATGTTCGGAGTCTGGACTGCGGGCACAGAAGTCGCCGAACTGATTTAAGAGCTGCATGAACCTGACATGCATGCAGTGGTGGTTGATAACATCGAGGACACGAAATTTGGGTAGGGCCCCAGATTGCACAACCATCTCTTTATTGACGAGGCACCCAATGTAGAATTCAGTCCATGAGAGCTTTTTGACTTGCTTGATTGCCATAGCATCCCGAGCGTTGTACCTCGCGCCAATGATTGCGAGATCGACGGTGTCACCTAGTCCAGGTATATAATCTTTCTTTAGCTTGATCCAGCGACCGAAGGAGGGATTTTCCCCATCATCAGAAAAGATTGTGAAGTAAGGGTCTTCACATGCTTTGAGGACAAATCCTTCCCATCGCTCAGTGATGCCCTTGTAAAAGATGCTTTCTAGTCGAGATTGACCGCCATGATGGGAAAAGTCAACTACCCACTGCTCAGATATGTCCGCACGCCCTGGGATTGGCTCCATAGTGTCTTTCAGAAGTAATCTCCGCTCCCGGTGTGGAAGTCTCAGACAAACATTCTCATCAATGAGCAGGATGTCAAAGAATACTATCATCAGATGCTCATAAGGTTGTGGACTATTGTATTCAGGTCAGAAGACAATGCTGAAAATTACATGCCATGCCACTTACGGAGAGTCGCTTTTAGTTCCAATGAAAGTGCCTGAGCGTGATATGAATTTACGCAACTTATGAAAATCTGCGATGTTGCCATGTTTGTCACTCCAAACAAGCATTTCGCCCTCCAGAATACATCGTCGGGAAATCTTGCAACCCGGCCGTCTTAGCTTCAGTGATTCGCTGATGACTTGATGAATACCGGCGCGGTCTGCTGTAGAATCTTTACCGCTTTTAGAAAATATTTGGATCCAGTTCGAGTCCTTTGAAAGATCGATGTGTATCTGGCAATATTCTCCATCATACTTCCTTTCGATACTCATGCGACGGTTGCCGATCATGCGACAGCAATGTTTGATGCTCCTAGCCTTATAGTACTCAGGTCGTCCTATCTTGACTCCCACAGCAGGACTGAAATGCCCTAACGCTATGAACCCCAGGTCTTTGGCTAATGCAGCATCTGGTTGAGGTGGAAAATGTTTAATGGGACTAGAGCTTAGCACGCTTAAAGCGCGTTCGAAAGAGTCCTGGAAGAGAAGTAAATGTGGAAGGAGGAAATGGAAACGTTTCAATATGATGTTTTCCGGCAGAGAAACAGGAGAATAGCTTTTCAGTATCATTCGAGTAAGCCATTTCGCATCTCTGCTACTTAGCCGTCGGTATAGAGGGGACAACGTCTGATCAACCTTGACAGCCGTACGCTGCCTTCGCACCTGAGGACCAGAAAACTTGCAACGAGAGGCGATCTCAGTTAAAGCTTTGTCTATCTCTTCCACGGTGACATCTTGGCCGTTGGTGACGTGGTTTTCAGCCTGCCGCATGACATTCTCCACACATTGTCCCAGGTCTACGCCCCCGGATATACGCCAACGCTCGAGCTCCTGCCGCCGTGAACAGCCCAGAAGCAGGCACCGTGCTATGATTTTGACCAGCGATGTATCCTGTAGCCAGTAGACACGGTCTGTCCGTTTCTCCGGAAACATGCAGGAAAGGAGAGCCAACTGGTCGGTATCTTTATCGCGGATCCTCTTTTCATTCTGGGCGAACCATCGTAATACGGCACGGATGTCGGGGTTCACAACTTTGGCCTCATGGGCAGCTTTCAGGACCCTATTAGCTTCAAGGGTCGATAGTAAGTCGCACAGGTGAGCAAATTTGAACCCCATATGATAGTAGTAGCCGCGACGGGCGCGATTCTGGTGTCAGTATCGATGGCAGGCATCAAAACAGCCGATTAACCACCCGAACCATGACAACTAGGCGAAGCACAGCCTATTTCCATGGGGCTACTGATATTCAAGAATGCACAGTACAGAGATAACAACGAAGCAAGTGAGACTGAGGGAAGACGCAGAGCAGAAAATTGGATTGGAAGCTACGCGAACGGGACGCGAAACCACGTGATCCGAGCCAAAGTTGGGATCAATTGAGATTTTTGGCTTCTATTTTCTCCGATGATGATATCGAAATATTCTTGGGGTGTAGAATACATAATAAGCAAAGCTGTCTAGTCTTGACTTTGCTTTGATACAGCCATTCCCAACCAACACTATCCCAGTGACCACGCAGCATTAAGGAAATTAGAGAAAGGACACCCACCAAACTCCAGGCTTTTCAATATGAAATATGGCGAAAGGCAATGCAAAAAAACATGAAGAAAGGTCGACCTGGGGTCGCCGATTATAGGATACCTTGCTTTTGCAGACTGGTAATTATTAGTAAAAGTTCCAATAGGTTGCGGGATTGTTGGGGCACGTACTCAAGGTAGATCCTCTCCGGCATAACATTGCCTTCGGCATCCTCCATCTGTACCACATTGTCGCGGTTATCTCTGTCCTTCTTGCGGTCCTGCTCTAGCTTCTCCCAAAGCCTGATTGCATCCTCAATGCGAGTGATCTCACGGAAAAGGTTGGTATTGGAAGTGATACCAAGACACTTCAAACCAAAGATATGTAAGGCCTCCGAGAAGTGCTTGTCAAACGCACGACGACCCATATAAACAAAGTTACCGCAGATCTCGCAAGGATACTCCACCCCAAGGCCGTGCAGCTTGTAAAGCCAGTAAGGGATTGGCTTGCCGTCCCAAGCAAGTGGCAGTTTGAGGGGATTGTAGATTCGGTCTTCATCGTCCTCATCAGATTGATCGCCAGCACGATCACCGCCAGGGTTCTCGGACTCATTAAGCAGAGCTTCAAGTTCCATCTGGCGCTCACGTTCAGTCATACCCTGTCTCCGCTCGACATTGAACCTCGTCGCTTGACGCTCGGGCTGCAGTACCTGCGTCAAAGAACGCACCCGATGTTCCCTCTCTGCGACTGCACGTTCCTTGAGTCGATGAGCCACGGATGATGTGCCGTTTGTCGTAGGGGCTGCCGGCTTCGCGTCATCCCCAGCGGCTTTGCGTGCTTCAGCGGCCCGGATATGCTTCTTTCCTGTCAGGTGGTTCTTGTAGACATTCTCATTCTTGAACTCCCTCTCGCAGTCAGCACACCAGATGCCTTCTCCGGAGCCCTCGGTCTTCGGACCCTGGGTACCGTTCTGAGCAGCCTCCTCTGTCCAACCAGGGACCTCGTTCGCCGCCCATTGCCTTTCGAACTCCTCATCAAAGCTAGCAAATAGTTTGTCCAGATCTTGCAACGGCTTCACCTTTTTAATGAAGCTTTCCAAGTAGTTTGCGAGTTCACCGACATATTTGAAATACCGATCGGAAAGCTTGTTGTTCCGCTTGATCGGAAGTTGTGGAGGAGTAAATGCATCGAAGATGTCGAGATACTGTACATATGAGAGTCGTTTTACCCCAGGCAAGTTCAAGTAGTCTTCGTGCAATGTCGTGAGGTCCAGAAATTGTCCATAACCCTCTTCACCAGTGAACAGATTGTCGATCTCCATTCCCGTTACTTCGCCCTCTCCAGGCTGACGGCGCTTATAAGCCCGCTCAAGGTTTTCAACTGGTTCATTAGGATAGCGCCTGTGAAAGTCCTTAATCTCATCCAGTTGCTTGTAGAATTCCTCGAATTGATCGCCGGTTGAGATGGTTTGAATTTCCTTCTCACGCGCGCCGTCCGCATCCTTGTAGATGTCGAGTAACCTCTTGGACTGGTCTTCGATACGCTTCAAAAAATGTGCGACTTCATGGTCACGAGCCAGGCGATCCCGGATCTGAAAGTAAAAGAGTAAGTTAGCAGAGAGCGACGAGATAGAGACTGATGGGTTACTTACATTACGAGGCTCTTCGGCGACGCGGTCGGCAATCGCCTGCTCCAGGCGCTCAAGGTCCTCGTGGATGAACCTTTGCTCTTCGAAAATCATTTTGGTGCGCACACAAGGCTCTACCTGTCTTCTGCAGATTAAAGCACTTCTGAAGATCGGGGATGGAAACGGGCACCTCATCGCCATCCAAGAGAGCTTTGCGGCGAGCTATCGTCACGTGCGGCGGGCGGTGAGACCTCGGTCGCAACGAAAAGTCGCGCCGCAGAAGCTGGGCGATTCTTCTGCTACTCCACCAGGCCAGCTCCCCTCCTCCACTGACTTGATTCTGTTTTCCTTCATCCTCTTACTTCAAATTACAGACCTGGTGTATTCAACATGGCGGACGGAATTGACAGACGCGCTGATGGTAGGACCCCAAAGTTCCCAACTGTCATTCACGCCTGTATACTAACTGCGCAAAACTAGACCGCATGGAGTTCAACACCTCGAAGGAGGTCACTGTTGCTCCTACCTTCGAGGACATGCACCTGAAGGAGAGCCTTCTCCGTGGTATTTACGCTTATGGTTATGAGTCTCCGTCGGCTGTCCAGTCCCGTGCTATTGTTCAGATTTGCAAAGGTCGCGATACCATTGCCCAGGCGCAATCCGGTACTGGTAAGACCGCTACCTTCTCGATCAGTATCCTCCAGGTCATCGATACCGTCGTCCGCGAATCTCAGGGTATGTAATATGCGCTCAATCGCAAGTGGTGGTTGTAATCTCACACATGACAGCCCTCGTCCTATCCCCCACTCGTGAACTTGCCACCCAGATTCAGTCCGTCATTATGGCCCTCGGTGATTACATGAACGTCCAATGCCACGCTTGCATCGGAGGCACGAATATTGGAGAGGATATTAGGAAGCTTGACTACGGTCAGCATGTCGTTTCGGGCACCCCGGGCAGAGTCGCCGATATGATTCGCAGACGCCATCTGCGCACCCGTCACATCAAGATGCTGGTTCTCGATGAAGCCGACGAACTCCTCAACCGTGGATTCCGTGAACAGATTTACGACGTCTACCGCTATCTTCCTCCTGCCACCCAAGTCGTTGTCGTTTCCGCTACCCTCCCCTATGACGTGCTCGATATGACCACCAAGTTCATGACCGACCCCGTGCGTGTCCTGGTCAAGCGTGACGAATTGACCCTCGAAGGCATCAAGCAGTACTTCATTGCAGTGGAGAAGGAAGAGTGGAAGTTCGATACCCTTTGCGACCTTTACGATACCTTGACGATCACCCAGGCGGTCATCTTCTGCAACACCCGTCGCAAGGTCGACTGGCTCACTGACAAGATGCGCGAAGCCAACTTTACTGTGTCCAGCATGCACGGTGAAATGCCCCAGAAGGAGCGTGACAGCATTATGCAGGATTTCCGCCAGGGTAACTCCCGTGTGCTTATCTCCACCGATGTCTGGGCTCGTGGTATCGACGTGCAGCAGGTGTCCCTGGTCATCAACTACGATCTGCCCACCAATCGTGAAAACTACATCCACCGTATTGGTCGTAGTGGTCGTTTCGGACGTAAGGGTGTTGCCATCAACTTCGTCACCAGCGATGATGTGCGCATCCTCCGTGACATTGAACTTTACTACTCCACTCAGATTGACGAGATGCCCATGAATGGTATGTTAAACCTAATATACATCACGAAGCTCAGATATAGCTAACCTAAACCCTAGTTGCCGATCTTCTGTCATAAGCAATATAATCTAAGCCTAGCGTATCGACCAATCTTTCTCAGCTATGGTCACCTGCAAGTCATCACTTGGCATCAAACTCGCGCATCCGAACAGTACCAATGCCTTGCTCCCTCCCTATACAACTCAACAAGGTGGACAAAAGGCCCAGAATATCATGAAGGGGCGGAGAATCGCGTGGAGGAAATGGGAAAATTATCAAATTGGTTAGTTCACTGTCACATCTCTACAGTCTAAATTTCCCCGAGTCTGACATTTGCCAGTGTTGTTCGAGTAGATGATTATCTACGACGCCAATGTCACTCAATCAAGCGGCGTGGATCCAGTCAGGCTGGCCACGTTCTACCCTTTTACTTTATCTATTTACCTTTGAATATTCCTTTCTGGCGTTTGAATTGTTCCGGGGTTTACATGCTATGTTTGGAGTTTACTCTTATTATTACGATCGAGTGGAAATATCAACGTTCAAGAGTCTTGTGTGGTCTGTCTATACTAGTCTGACGAGCCATATTTACATCCCTCAAAAGTACATTTATCCATATCCATTTTGTCCCATCCCGCTCTCTCTTGCAAGTATCCAGTACTAGTAGGACTTGCCCATCTATAGATTCACCACATGAGTAGATCAATCAATCAGTTGATAGTACCCAAGCATATATTTCGATTATCAGATGCATACTCTACTACCACTAGAAGGCACAGAGAAAGGAGAGAGAGAGAGAGAGAGAGAGAGAAAGCGAAGTAGCGGTAGCGAGAAGCAAACATGAACTCGATGGCCTCTTGAGCACAAAAGCAGAGAGGACTCCGATACGCAACGCACAAAGAAACAAATGGGAACATGACACCAAAGCACACTCCTAACTAGTCCCTGAAAAAACCCTTGCATGATTCACGACCCAAAGGGTGGACAGTAACGACAATTGACAGACAGACCATTAACCGTAAACGTTGAAGTCTTTATAATATGTAAGAATATGGGGTGGGGATGGAGTATGATATAATTGATAGGGACGCCATGCCATGGTGCAGTGGCTTATTACGGCACTGATGGCAGGCGCGCCGGGGATGGTAATGATGAATGTGCGGAAGGAAAAGAAAGAGGAATATGAAATTGATGCAAAGCATATATTGATCTGTACCAAAAGCAGCGGCGCCTGCAACCTGTATTAAATGGACCACTGACGATGAGCCAGCAAAAAATGCGTATATGCAGGGGTGGAGTGAATAAACAGGAGCAGTTGGGTTCGGAGTAGGGATGAGGGAGATAGCGGATGGAGTGAATGCGAGAGATGTTTAAGCTGGAGCTGCTTCCAAGTATGTAAAGACTATATGTGATTGCCTCCTACTCCTGAAACGGGAGCACTAATTGAAGCTTGATGTTGAACGCAGAGCGCTGGTGCGAGTGAAACCACTTGTCGATACTGCCCTGTGCTTGCCCGCTGAAACATTCGGCCGTATGTCACGTTCACGTGTCCAACTAGAGATCTGTCAGCCAAAACACTATCTGGGTGGAGGGATGAAATGACGGGGCCGGTGCTCACATTCTAACCAAGCAGTCGTCGCCAGCAGAAGCAAACATTCCTGGGTCTCGGGGATTCCAGGACATGGAATTTACACATCCTCGTACGTGCCCCTCTAATGCCTCTACAAGTGTGCCGGCTTCTTTGTGGAAGATATAAACACGAGAATCTAGGACACATTAGCCAAAGAAGGTGAGGATGTGTGTTCAAATGGTGCTCACCTTCACTTCCGCTAACAATAAAGTTTTCCGCCGCACCACCAAAGACACTGCGAATCACGAAATGCCCTTGCTTCTGCCCTGAAAATCGTCGCACAACGTCTGTGGTGTTGATGTCAACAAGCTGTATTTGCCCGTCGGCGGAGTTGATCAGCATGTGACGGGAGTCCCTGCTAACAGCGACTGAGGTTGGCTTGCTTTTCAGGGCTAGGCAGTATTCTTCATCGCGGGTCGCAAGGTTATAGACGTGGACCTTCTGATCAAGGTCTGCCGCGATAAGTCTCCGGCCATCGGGCGTGATAGCGCAGTCTTGGACGCGGAAGCCTTCCGGCCACATGTATAGGGTCTGTCCACGCATGCCCCAATGACAGAGTTGCGAGCTGACGTCCAGAGCCGCCGTTACGAAAGACTCGCCATCAGGAGCCCACGCCGCAGCTGTCACGGGATGACGGTGGTGATTGATGGTCAGAAGGCAACGACCAGTCTTTGCCAACTGTCAGCACAAGCACCGTCCTCCAACACGAAAAGGGGTCACTGTACCTCAACGCTCCACACGCGGGCGGTCTTGTCCTGAGAACAGGTAATGATCTTCGAGTCATCCGGGCTCCATGCACACTGTGCAACACCATCCTCATGACCCAAGAGCTTCTGTATCACAGAGAAGGTGCTGGTTTCGTAAATGATTACAGTCTGATCTTTACTGGCAGTGACCAGCTTCGTCCCGTCGTTCGAGAACTGGCACCACCATACCTCGTCGGAATGCTGGTTCAACTCAATCCCGGTCCGCAAAGGAAAGTCTTTGCGATCACACATGTGATCTGAATATAATGAAGGTGGTGATGCGGAATTATGATATAAGCACTGGTTGATCTGTGTTTGTTTGACGTGATCCAGCAGAATGGCAAGACGATTGTCCGGAATCATTACAGAAGGCGATATTGACCCTGCTAAGTTGTTAGTGGCATGCGCTGGTACAGCTCCGAACCCTGGGTTTGGGGACTCACGAGACAATTCCGATAACAAACGTTCTCGAGAAGAGCTTATGGGACCGTCCCAGCCGGCCTGGTCGTGGAGATGTTCCGGGGGGCACATGAGTAGACTAGCATCAAAGTCAGTTTCACTCACGGTGGTGCCGCGAGAGCTTGTCAGCATGGTGTGCTCACCTGGACAGGGCGTGTAACCGTCCTATGTCATAGTTCAGAGGTGTCAGTTCATGTCTCAGAACTATTAGGGCCGCCGCCAAATCGCGGGCTTCCAACAATTCGAGGAATTTTTGCTGTCGCAGGTAAAAAAGCATTTCGTTCTTTTGAGCATCTTCCACCAAAACCAGCTTCTCCCGATTCGTCGCTTGCTCGCCGGTATTACTCCTCCAACCACCTCGATCCGGATAGAATGACTGCACCAGTATATGTTCCGCCTCGGTCCATCGGCCCTCTAACACCGCATTCCTAAACGTAGCAACTGCTGGGCTCTCCAGTTGATAGCCACTCTCCTTGCTTAGAAGCGTCGCGGCCCCATCATAGCCAAGGTCAAACAGGGCTTGAATCAAAATCCTGGTAACTTCTTCTCGGTCATGACCATAGTATGACGGAGGGCCGACTGACGCCTTTTGAGACCCAT